TGGGGAGGGGACAGGAGAGGCTGGGGGGTCACAGCACAGGGAGGGGGGACACAGACAGCGCTGGGGCAAAGCACATGGCCCGGTGACTTTCCCAATCACATCAGCGCTGGGCGAACAACATCCCGCCAGCCTGGGGCTGGCCCCAGCGCAGCCTCCTGGGCCCCACGTCACTCAGGCATGTCCCAAGGCTGACGTGAGTGCCGGCCCCGCGGCCGACGCGCAGGGACCGGGGCGGTGGGTGCTACAGGCACCCGTCCCTACTTTTTCACTTTGGCGTCGTAGGTGCCCGCGTTCTTGTAGGCACTGACATAGCCACTGGTGTCCACGATGTTCTCCCGCCCGCTCTTGCCCTTGCCCTTGCCGCTCTCGTCAAAGCGTTCCTTGTGGGAGCCCGTGTACTTGGAGGTGTCCGTCAGCCTCTCGACGGCCCCCACCGTCTTGGCTTTCTGCAGTGGGGACAGAGGACATGGGTGTCAAGAACATGCCCCATCCCCTTTGTCTCTTGCCCCATGCAAGCTCCTGACGCCCGCTGAAGGCCCTGCCATGCCCCCCATGCCCACCAGACCTATGCAACCCCCAGGCCATGGGGTCCCCCAGAAAGCATTTGTACTGTGGGCAGAGCTCCATCCTCCCCTTCCAACCATTCTCCCTGCTCCCAGCAGCCAAGGGACCCCTCACTCACCGTGACACCCACGTTAATGGGCTCCTTCCCTGCCACCAACTGGCAGATGGCTTCATACGCATCCTCTTTGCTCTTGTCCTTAAATCTCTTGGGAGCTAGCTCCTCCAGCGCCTTCTTGAACTCCTCGTAGTTGATGACGCGGGCTGTCTTTCCTCTGCAAGCACAAAACCCAGGCTGCCATCAGCACATCTTCAGGTTGGGCCTCCAAATGGTGCTGCAGCAGGATGAGCTGCATCAGGAGACCCCAGCTTTGTCCTCCACCAGATTCAGGCCCCTTGCCCACCTCCAAACGCAGCTACGGCCTGGGCAATCCCGGCTGAATGGGTTGGGCTGGGCACAGCCAGTGCTGAGCCCCAGGAGTTAGTTTTTCAGCAAAATACTGTTAGAGTCCCTGGTGCCAAAACCCCACCCCTGCATAGAAATGTCCTGGGAGTTGGGTGCTGGTGGCAGAAGGGGACAAGCGTCCACTCCTGCTGCTCCCAGCCTGCCTGGGATGCCCAGTGCCCTCTCTCCCCTAGCAGGCATGTCCTTTTCTGGTCAGATTCAGAAGAATTTCCACAGAGCATCTCTCCCACATTTCTCCTGGTCCTCATCTCTGGGGCGGCACAGCAATCCACCCTCCCATGTGCCAAAAACTTCCCGATGCTCAGACCCTTCTTTCCTCACCAGGAACAAGGGGATGTCTGGACAGAGGGCGTGGAGGGAGCAGGTTCTCTATTCATCCTTGGTCCTGCACCATGTCTTCAGGGACCCCAAAACCAGCCCCAGGCACCTTCAACTCTTCAGCTGGCCCTATGGCCTCCAAGCTCAGGGGTGGGCTGGCCAGGCCCAGGGATGGGCTGTGCCACATCACACGGGGAACAACTCCTGCGCACCCTCCTCTGCTCCCTGCAGCACCTTCTTGCCAGACAGGAGCCTGGCAGAACTGGATGGGCCCACCCCAATGCCTGGGAGTACCAAAATCTGTCTCCCACCCTCCAGGTTTGGATTAATTCCTTAATAGGTCTTGCAGAAGCAGCCATACAAACTCTCTGAAGGCAGAACATGGCAGGATGGCACCTGCTGTTCCATGCCCAGAGCAAGATGGGAATGGACAGCCTGTGCAGGCAGCTGGGGTACCACATGTCCCCGGGCACCACTGCACCCCGGCACCACCACCCTGCCTGCACCGCAAGGGCATCCCCACCCTCTGGGCAACTGGAGGCCCAGAAAAGCTGAGTCACTTACTTCACCTTGGAGAAGACAATGTCCACGTCCGTGCTGGTGACGCTTTTGCCGTCGGTGACTTTGCAGTCTTTGCACAGCTTGGCCCAGTTCTTCCCATTCATTTCTTGTCCCGTAGCCTTGGTGTCTCCATAGATGGCGAATTTGCGGAAACTCTCCTCCAGGGATGCCATCTCAGTGCTGCCGGCCATGGGGCTGCGGGATGGGGGGCAGAGGAGCCTGTTACTGCCGGGGGAGCTCAGCCGGCTCTCCTCACAGCTCTGCGGGGGCTGGCGAGGGTGCAGGGGCAGCAGCAGGAGCAGGGTGTCAGCAGAGCCTGCGGCCGTGGGGCAAGGGCTGGCGGCCGCCTGGACAAGCCCCGAGGCCAACAGCCGAGACGTGTCTTGGGGGATGGAGGCTCCTGGTGGAGAGCTGACAGCAGCGAGGCTGTTTGCTCCAGGGCCGGGCGAGGAGTGAGAGCATCAGCCTGTCCCCTCGGGAACACTCTCCGGGAATGACGCAATGCGGCCGCCTTCCTCCTGCTTGCTGATCATGAGAAATGGCACCGCTGCCTGCCTCCAGACCCACCGCCCCCTGCCCGCTGGCTCTGCCCACGGCCGCGCCCCAGCTCTGCGACCTGCCCCGCAGCCAGCAGCGCTGGGGTGCCAAGGGGCAGGTAGGCCTCTGCACCCCCCACAGCGCTGCAGCCACGGCCCCATCCCGGCTCCCCGCCTGCCGTCGCCTCGCCAGCCTCGCCCTGCCAGCTCAGCATCCCTCGCCACGAGCTCAGCACCCACAGCGCCTCGGCCAGGACCGGGCGCAGCAGCACCCGGCCCGGGGCTCCAGCACCCTGAGGC